GTTATTTACAGTTACACGTTTGATTCTGAATAGTTTTGTCCACCAGCATTTTAACATGACATTTTGAACCCTTTCACGGAAGCCTCGATGATTATCCACTTGAAAGCAATAATATAGCGTGACTTCCCTTCTAGAATTTTAAACACATTTAACTGCCCGTTTCAAACACAAATGAATGAAATGCGTTTTAGAGCATTTCATTCAAAATAGCTTGCAAAAAGCGTCGTATTTCGGTGGATAATAATCTTAATAGTCTTCATAATATAGATGCTTTAGGAAAATCATTAACCATAAAAAAAGACATATTTCGTTCGTCCAGTGAATCTCTGTTACCCATGTAGTTAGTTAGTCCCGATCCAGTTAACTTAGATAGCTGAATTAAATAAACAAAAGCTTGGATAAAACGAGGTTCCTTGGTTTAGCTGCTATTTTTGGTTCTTCTTCTTATTTCTCTTCTTCTTCTCCTTCTTCTTTTGAATGGCCTTTGACCTTTGAAAAGATGCTGACTCATTGAAATTTAACTTTTTTGGTTGATTAGGGTTAGATTTGCATCCACCTCAATCGCTCTCAAGCACATTGTAAGAATTTTCATTCCTAAAATTGAGGAAATTAAACGATACGAGAAAATTGTACAACTTCGACGAAAAGAGAAATGTAAAGAAAAAAACATAATAAGAAGCCAAGTGTGTCCTTGCAAGTCTTGTTTTGTGGATTTGATGCACTGATTTTGATAAAGACGCTTGCTTAGCACAAAGCAGACAATAACGGCTGCATCAGTAATCAATAGCGAGCGTGCGTGCTTCAAGGCGGGTCGCGTGATCATTTGCACATTAACAAAACAAAAACCAAAATCTTCAAAACTTTGGATGGGCTAGTACTTTTGAATTAACTCCGATTGAACTTAAAAAGGCGACCAATGTCTTCGCTAGGTTCGTCAGGCGCAGGATTTTTCATTAAGATCGTGGCGTAGAAGTTACTAATCGAAATAGTGTTTTTTCTCTTCCGTCTTTTCGCTCTTTTTACTTTCATTACCATACAAAGAGTTGTGCAAATTGTAAAATTCTCTTCCTTGCTACCTCGTATCACATTTTTAAATATTCAGACCATTCGTTCTGTGTACTTTTATATACTTTGTATTTTTTTTTGTAATATTTCAAATTAAATTTTTTTCATAGTTTGGCTCAGTGATAACCATTTTGTTTGTTTTTTGTTTGTTTGTTTGTTTGTTTGTTTTTTACCCTGAAAGCCACCTTCTATAAAGATATTGCACTGGTTATTTTACACACTTATTTAATGATATTCTGTTAACTCAGTCTGACCTACCGTATTTACCCGTGTATAATGCGCGCCTGTGTATAATACGCACCCTAATTTTTGACCTCTTTTTTCCGAAAAAAAAGATTTCATGACAAATACCAAGAATTAAAACTTCCATTTTTTCACTTAATTAACAAGAGCTGGGAATTCATCAATAATATGTTTACAACAATTTCTAACTAGTTGCTACTACAAATATCGAACGCACCGAGCACCTATTTACAAGCTTTTCTATTCAGTAACAGTCAAACGTTTTATAAATGTTGTAACTTGAAGTCCTTACTAATATATCTACATTCACAACTTGAATTATTATCATAACAGCCGTTCATAAACATTATTTCTACTCACAGTACTGCTGGTAGCTTGAATATAATTACTGCATTGCAATTGCGTGATTTAAGTAAAATAATCAGTGTCTTTAAACCGACTCACAGTCCGATTCGAATAGGTTTTCGATGACTGAATCCTCAAGTTCATCAGTGATCTCAGTTGAATTGTAAACCAATTCATCTTGTGATCCATTCGAATTGTTTGTGATCCCACACTTCAGAGAGAGGCAGCGATCATTTCTGATGGAATGCCTTCCTACGCTTGTGAAATATACAAACAGATCAGTTCCTCCGAAGCCTTTTTTTGTCGTCCAGTAAGTTCGTGAATTCCATCAGCCATCCACTCCTTTCGGACTCCATCTCTAAATGGCTTGTTCAAAGATACATCGAGCGGCTGGAGAAGGGAAGTTCGCGTTTGAAGGAAGTGTTCACAGTATCTGTCATGTGAGCTTCAAATGAGTCGTAAACAAGCAAGCTCTTTCTCCTCCCCAGGCCACCGATCCGTGCACTTTTACTTTCTTTGTTGCGTTTTTAACGTATGCAAATTACGACGTGCTTGACAAACAATAGAATCCGTGTATAATACGCACCGCGATTTTGATGCTTGTTTTTATGGGAAAAAAGTGCGCATTATACACGGGTAAATACGGTAATTTCTCCACCAGCATTTTGACATGACATTTTTAACCTTTACACAAAAGCCAGAATGATAATCCGCTTGGTAACTTCTAAAATTGCAATGAATGAAATACTTAATTAGCTTGGAGACAGCATTAATACCTCAGGAAAAAAAAAGTTCAAATAATAATATGGGTTGAGAATAATCATGCACCATTAAAAACATATTTCGTCAGTGCGGTGAATCAATTTGAAACTCAAGCAGCTATTTGGTCCCCATCCTGTTAACTTAGCTGAAGTAAAATGAACGAAAGCTCTGGAAATGCGAGGTTCATTGTTCCAGCTTTTTTTTTTTTTTAAATACCCTTTGAACTTCACAACATGCTGACTCATGGGAATTTTTACATTTTTTTTCATGTACGCAAAAGTCAGATTTGTCCTCAGCTCAGGCGGTGATGCAAGCACATTAACAAAATTTCATTCTTTAAATGATCTTAAATGCAAGACATCAAAATATACAAGAAAAGCATACTACTTCGGAAAAAGAAAATTTTAACTAAATTGACAGAACTGTTGAAGGAAGAAGCCGAGTGTGTCGACGCTAGTCTTGTTTTGTGAATTTGAAGTTTTGACGAAAACGCTTGCTCAGCACAACATAGTGCTGAGCAAGCGTTTCCGTCAAAACTGGCTTCAAATCTACAAAACAAGACTCGAACGAAAAGTGCTTCAAACACATCAAACGGAAGTGCTTTAGGTCACATCACTCGAAAATTACGATCATTTGCATATGGCGAAAAAAGAAAAAATCAATTAATGTTACGCTGTGACTAAATGCTCGGCAGCAGGCACGGTCTCAAATAGACAGCTAAATGCTCGGCAGTTTTTTTTTTCACAGAATTTCCACCGAAGGGTTCTTTCAAACTTCTCAGGAACATCAGACGTTTGTTTAGAAACGTCAATCGATTCTAACAATTAATTTTTTTTTTTACAAATATCTCCGAGCGCGTGCATACTATAATGTTAATGTGTTTTACAGTGTTGCTGAAAAACCATGCAACATTTCTGAACAAACGTGGAATGTACTAAGCAGGTTTTAATGAAGTTCTCGAGCTCGAAAAAATTGTCCACTTAAAACCAATTTAATTTTTGGAATCGCTTGACATTTCTATACCAAAACCCGGATACTCTTCAGAAGTTTCACGGAGGTTTTCTGAGGCACTTTGGTGAAAATTTCTAACTATCGTGCATTTAGTCCATTCGAGACCGTGCCCGGCAGTCTGATCAGAAGCGTACAAGTATCGACAACCGAGCAATATTGAATTATGCTCAAGCTCAGAGAATTTGTCAATATTTGGAATCATTTGAGATCTCTGGACAAAAAGCCGATACTCCTTTCTTAAAAGAAATTTGAACTTAAACAGTTGCATTCGCTGGACGATTGGTCCCACAAATGTCTAACATACGATGCGTGATCTGTCACCCGAAGTTCTTTTCCTCCATAGCCAAAAAAGTAACAATAAATCTTATACCATTGTGTTTTTTTTCCAAGTTGTTTCACTTGACATTTAATTATTATTTTAGTTCTAAACATCTTTGCTATTAATCTTCAAAAATTTCTCTCGCTTTTTGTCGAGCCTTTATTTCGCGAGCATCCACTGTTCCACTTTTTTTAAATACGAAGAAAAGTCGAACATGGTTGGAGCTAGCTCATGTACACGTGATGAATATCAAATTAGGGGAAACCCCTTTTTTTCCCCTTTCTTTCTGATAAACTTCAATCTATGGTTGTATCTAGTTCATTTCTCGCTCAAGGTATGTAGTACTCGATGCTTAGGCTGATCAAGGCTGTAGGAATTAGCTAAGAAGCAAGTCAATCTAAAACTTTGAGGGAAATAGTTTAAAAAAATTTTCTCATACTTTATGTTTTTCGCAGAAAATGGCTTCTTTCGCGTTTCCCGAAGAAAGCTTAATCTGCAAAATGACAGCGGCGATCTTACTGGTCCTCATCTCAACTGTAAGTAAGAAATGATTGGTTATTAGTTGGGATTTCACACATTTGATTAAAAGTTTTTGTAGAACCGATTTTCAACATTTCTAGTGCTAGAATCGACAATGGAATTTGAATTATGAACTTTAGACCTAATTGCTAAATCAAGACGTAGGTAGTCCAAGATAAGAGTGAATTTTTCGTTTGGCTTCATAATAGTCTATGTTTCTTTTTTGTCTCTATTTAAGTTCTGTCCTTCATTAAAAATTAACTACCGGTAACGCCTCTTTACAAGTTTTTGCTTTGATTTGCGAAATTTGGACCAAGCATCAAAACTCTTCACACACGATTTTAAAATACTATGATGGAGTTTTTAGCATGGAATTTAAGTAACTTCCCTGCGAACAAGCGGCCCCTAATGCTGACTAGGATGATATTGCTGTCGAGAAAGACGATATCGATATCTGGACTGCATTGTGTCAGGGCATATCATCCATCGTGCTTACATGATATGCCCTGACATATACATAGGCATACATGGCAACTATCGCCTCGATTTCAACCATTACAATGGCGGACCTTTCCGATGGAGGACTTCTCTCTAGTGGCCTCACTGGTACTTTTGAAAACTTAGATAGATTTTTCGTAGCCCATGGGTTTGGATTATGTTTGCGATTCTGTTTGATTTCCCTTGAATGTTTCGTCTGCACTGTGGTCAGAACAAGCGCAAATGTTATGTCCTGACCATTCGAGAATTCTATCGATCGAGGTTGTCAACCATGTGTAATAATCAAAACTGTAATGCCCTTTTCCACATAAATTTATGCTGCTATAATATTTGATAAGTTACATCTATAGTGCCGCTATTTTAGCCACGTAACTGATATGATTAAAGCAAGGAACTGGTGATGTAAGTTTGAATTTCCGAAATTAAGTAAAAGAAAGATTTCGCACCAAAAAATAAGCAGTCGTAATAGTCACATAATATTTTGATAGACTTAATAACCGTTGCTTTCACGCCTGATTATGCTATGGTTAATGCTCCATTTTACCACTTTTTGCTAGGTCCCTGCGCGAGTGGCATCGGCTCGATGCCCAGATTGTACGGGCGAGATAAAAAGAATTGATTCTACAGGCAAATGCCACAGTTGTTTCCCTTGCCCAGAATGCATTGAGGGATATTCAACTTCATCTGTCCCTTGCGGATCGACTATTCCTTATGAGAGGGATATACATTGTGTGGAAATCCTACAGCACCCTCAGGAAAGTTCACAAACAAGCCATGCAATTTTTGCATCTGGAACAGTTACCTCTCCTTCCCAGATTTTCGCCACCACGGCAAATTTGGTCATTTCTGCCACTAGCTCCTTCGTTCGTGCTGGTTCCAGCATCATTCAAGAAAGAGAATCTAAGTCAACTAAAGACCCGAACACTGAGAACATATCGCCACCATTTGGCAGTTATTCAAACAACACCATCATATTCACATTGTTTGCAATATCTCTGGTGATCTTATCAGTAGCTATTGTGTTTAAATTGCAAAAGAAAAATAAAGGTAGAAGTCAGTCAGCAGTAACTACAGTTGATGCACTTCCATCCTTGCCAGGGCAATCATTGTCAGAGCAAGATCATGAAATTTGCCATATTGATTTAGGAACAAACTGTGTCGTTTATCAAGGTGCCCATTCAAGTGAGATGGGAGACGACACATTGCCAGGTTTGACTCATGGGACTGGAAATAATGGTTCAGGTAATAATTATTGTCAAACCTATTGTAGATTGATCTACATTTCCAAAATGTCAGCTGTTAGATCAGAGAGTAAGAAACTGACCAGAACTGTTTGCACTCATGTACACAGCTTTTAAAAATACAGTTGCTGTGTTAATTATTCTTTAAATTATCTTATTTCTTGTTTCATTTTTCTTCCAAAGTATGGTTAAATATGGTGACCTCATGCTTAACAGCTAGGCATCAGTAAGGGTTGATACTAATCTCATGTCTAATATATCCCCATTCTCCTTTCAGGCACCATTTGTGATAAATGAACTTGAGGCTGTGATTATGCAGTCTCTCTGTTTTTTATCTTTGTTAGTTATATATTTTAAAAAAATGTTAATTTTATTGTAATTATACTACACCCATTAGTGTCAACCACCACTATGGTTTTTGAAGGCTGACATTTCAGACAGTAACCCTTTGTA